CAAGTTCTTCTGCTAGCTTGAATAAAAAATCTTATCTCGAGATATTTTCTCCTGTCGTTGGCTTGTACAAAATCCAGGCATTTATGCCAGCTAAATCAAGGATATTGAAAAAAACTTGGAGAGGCCATCTACAAGACTTAGATTATGTAGTAAATTTTACTACTTACTTTATTTTGGTGTAGTACACCAAATTTGGGTTTATTGTAATAAAAAACAGTTTCATTTAAACATTTATCATTGTATTCTACATACTTTAACGAATTTATGTTTAGAACTAAGTAAAAGGACTTTTTTTGTTGGCTTACTTTTATAGATTGTAAGAGTACAATTATCTGTTGTAAAAATTTTCGATTAAAATCGTTCCATATCATCTTTCTTTTGCTTCGCAATTAGCGGTAATTCTCTTTTATTTGGCCGAATAGTTCCAACTAAGTTTTTTTGGCTAGGAGTTGTGTAGCTAGGGGTTTGCTTGTCTGTCTTCACAGTTCTTCCGCAACCCGTAAATGGCTCAATGAGTTTGAGTACAACATATTCAGAGAGTGGTACTGAAAAGGACAGGATATTCATCTTTTCCAAGATATGGAAGTGCATTTATGACGTATTTTCTATCGACGTCCGATGCTAACCAACATTTGATTCCCAATTTATCCGGCTTGTTAAGTAGGTATTGCGTAAATCTACATCGTACTTTAGTCGGAAATCGCTGTTCGTCTATAGTAATATTTTCACTCGGTTACAGTTTTGGCTGTTCTCAATGAAAATATCTCAAATTGCAAATACCATAGCGAATTTATCTGTGTTCAAACGTTGGATCCGCTGACTTTCTGTTATCAAAACGAATAAATCTAAGAATTTCGGTAAAATTATTTCAGCTCATAGTATCAGAAAAAAATTTAGGCCCCATATGTTATTCCACAAAAAGGAAATATTCAAATTATTTCCTCTATATGCAGTTCGGGCATACAAAATTCCAATAAATGCATCTAATTTTATTTTAGATAAGCTATAATCGAAACCTAACACTCTCTTTGCTTTTTCTGTTGTACATGTTTTTATATGGTTCATAATACGGTGGTCAATTTTCAATGAAAATACCTTTCATTATATGGCGTTTTGAATATTCTGTTGGGCCTACTTCTTGCCGGTAAATGTTATGAAGAAGTAGTATTCTAGGTGTGCCACCTTTTTGTATTTCTTCCTGAACACATCCATCAATTGCAACATTTTCTTCATTTATTTCTACTTCACTTTCTTCCGAATTTGAGAGTTATCTTATTCTATTTCTACCACTACATACATTCACAATATTTTCCTCTTCATCGTCAGTATCTGTAGAATCGAACTCATTTTTATTTGCCAATATATCTTCATTTTCAGATAATTCATCTTCACTAATTTCCGAAAACTCTTCGCCAATATTATTTATATCTTCTAAGAACTTGTACTGTATTGTTTGCTTCGATATTTTTCTGGGCAAAACATGATCTATATTACTTTAGCTATCAAAATAAAATATAAGCTAAGTACTTATCAAGACTTTCAATATTTGGCACTTTTTCTTACACTAAAAAGCTATTTTCAATGTAAAATTTGATATTTTCTTGAAACTATTCTGAGCTATTTTCGTTGAACTACTTTACGCAGCAGTCTTTGGAAGAATGTGCAACTTACTGACTCCAAATATGACTCGATAATCTCATAAAACAGAAAAACTCTCTCCGGGTCAAATGACCCGTTGTGGTAGATTTCGGTATACAACAAGAATTACTCAGAATAAACAAAAATATAAATATTTTTATAACTGTACATTAATTACTTAGAAAAAGTCATGAAGTCAGACGTGCAAACTCAATAAAATTATACGTGCATTTTCAATGCAAAAGTTCAAAATGGGTCATTTCACCCGTTATAGTATGTTTAGTGTTAAAAAAAATAAATATAATTTTTTATAAATATTTTAAAATTTTTGAAACAAGAAAAATTTGAAAGTGAAAATGGCAAAGTTCAGATTAGCTTATTTCGGTACATACACGAAACATATATACGAATTCAAACCACAATCCATAGATATAAAAATGAGATGTGACGAAACATTGGATATAATAAGATCGCTTCCCTAATGTAATGGGAAGGAATTAAAAGTTTTCATTACGGGACTCAACGCTCCATTAAATAATATACTCGTAATAATGTCACTAAATCCGACCGATCTGCCTAATGCTTTAGCGAAAGCACAGGAAATGGGATCCAATCAAATTCGTATACAATTCGTTAAGACTTACAGTCTACAGAGACAAAATAACAATCTTTCAATAATAAGCCCACCTTCAGGCAATGTAATAATAACAACCAATATCAAGACCACAGCAATTTAACAATAACTATAATAATCAGGAATACAACTAAATTTAAGAGATAACACATTTCTAAGAAATAATTGTAAAAATGAAGAGAAAGTCTATACACTCAGCGAAACAGAATTAGGACAAATAAATAATATAAAAGATGAAAATTCAAATGCAAAAATATGCGAAAAAAAATTAAAATCTTAAAAATCCACGGTAAAATAAATACAAATTTACCGTTTAGAACTAATGATAACGCCGAAATAAGAACAGTCACAAATGCACCAATATATAGCAAACAATACCCATACCCTCTTTCTGCGAAGTTAAGAAAATGTTAAAAGAAGACATAATTAGGGAAACTAAAGGTCCGGACAATTCACCCAGGGTAGTGCCCGAAAGGGAACTAACTAAGATGGATCACCCAGAATGAGAATGGTGATCGACTATAAAAAATTAAATGAAAACACAATAACTGACAGATATCCTATTCCGGACTGCAATGTCATATTGGCAAATTTGGGGAAAGCAAAAATTTTATCTACCATAGATCTTGAATCGGGCTTCTATCAGATACCAATGAAAGAGAAAGAGATAGAGAAAACTGCATTTTCAATTAACAACGACAAGAATGAATATGTCCGAATGCCTTTCGATTGAAAAACGCACCTTCACTTTTTCAGAGAGCCATGGACATCTTTTCATGTTTACATTGACGATATTATAGTGTGGCGATAATAAGATACTACATTTAATATTAAAATTATTATTTATTAAAGATATTTCAAAACACTTGTTCACTTGTTGGCGTCTTTACAAGAAGTGACGCTTCTTAAAACTAAAAACTTAGAATTCACTTAAAGCCGTAAATTTCCAAGTAGAATATAAAGAGAAATAGAATCTAAAGAGAATGAAATAATAGAATAACTGACAAACAGTGCTGCCAGTACTGTGGGCACACAGATAAGACGTATCACATTAGACGATGTCGTACTGGACTTTTTTAAGGATGAGTTCCATTACTAGATCCTAGTGCGGGTGTTTGGTGTAGTTAGGCTGATTGATGTACGAGTATGTAGCGAATGCAGTTGCTCGGTGAGAGTACGGCTGTGCGGCGTACTGTTATCACTCGCCAATTGGTATGGTTAAGYAGTTGTTCCGAATTTATTTGCTCGGTGAGAGTGCGGCTGTGCGGCGTACTGTTGTCACTGGCGTCCCCCTGCGGGTAGGGGGCACCCCTCCGAGTTGGAGGGGAAATCGAATATACCCGTGGTAAGGCATGCCTGTCGCAAGAGGCGACTAAAATCCCGCATGCACTGTGTTTGTCATTCTGGGGTTGCCTTGAATTTCAACATAGTCCATGTCAGATATAGTGCTATAGTATTCATCGTAAAAACATGGTTACTGTACACTATATTTTTTATTCCTGGTATTCGACCGTGTTTTCGTTTACGATTTCGTTTCCGAATGGATTTACGAGACACATGTCATTATACAGTTGAGTTCTTAAGGGTTCTTAGGAATTCTTGGGGGCTCAACAGGCAGTAGCGCAAGCTACAAGTCATACCAAAGACTAAAACATTGTACCACGGGGAGCAGTTAGCCCTTGGAGGAAACTCCAATCTGCTCATTGGGTTTTTGGCCCTTTGTGGAGATTCGTGGTGGCTGTGGTTTAAACCTAAATGCAGGAAGGGCATTAGTCCGGTATGAAGTCGCGCTGCGGCCGGGTGCCGGACCCAGAGTACGGCAGAGGTTTTAGATGGGCCTCGTACCCGACCAAGGTGGCTAGGGTGTGCTTGTCCACCCAAACCAATTGGAACCAAAGTATAAGTGTATGTGGCGGCACTCATGCTTTGGTTCTCCAGAGTATGGTGCAGGTGCATGCACTAATGTTTTGGGGCGCTGATCAACGCATTGTTTTGATCTATGTGCTTCTAGCAATAGAAAGTACCGTGGGGTTAGGCCTTCGCAGGCAGGAACTCACGTTAAACCACAACGGAATCTGTTGTCACTGGCGATGTGATATGGATAAGTGGTTGTTGTGCAGTTTTCGGTTAGGCTTGTGAAGGTACACGAGCAAGACTGGGTTAGGGTCGACAAACGACCGATTGGATATAGTTAAGTGGTTGTTGAGCAGTTCTCGGTTAGGGCTATGACAATTGCATAGGAGCCTAAACGTGCGAGACTGAGTTGAGCGCCTTATCTCCGTAGGTACCAATTTTGCTGCCGTTTGCAGCTTGCAGTCGAAAAGGAGTTACTATTTTGAGTTTACGAGAAAACGGAGTTGCCGCAATATCCGTACCAGTGTCGACGATGAATTTCGATGTGCGGTCGTAAATGAATAGTGTGTTACAGTAGTTGGTAGTGCGATGCTACGGTGTACAAGCGTAGCACGGCGGGCGGTTGGCAACCTGCGCAGGGGCTGATTGCGGCGTTGTGCACTTGGTAGTGTTGCATGTAGCTTCGAGGCGGCGACTGATGCAAAGTGCGTTGAGCCGAATGCACTGCAGATGAAGCGATACATTGTTGCTGCTGCTACAAAGTTTGCGGCAGTGTTGGTGGTGCTTGCTGTTGCTGCTAGTAGATAAGCGGTGCTGTACTTATGTGCGCTGCTCCAGCGACAGGTCCCGTTGAATAGTTAATGATTAGATTTACTTAAGTTGAACATTGCTGTTGAAGCGACAACTGCAGCTGTAGCGTCTGTTGTAGCTGTTACTGTGCTGTTACTGTTGCACCTGCGATTGCAGTTGCATTTGTACGTGTTGATTTTGATGTTATTATTGTTGCTGGTTGTGGTCATGTTGTTGCGCTGTACCACCCAAATGCGGCGACATGCCGATGATGGTGGCAATCAATTGGGCTGATACATATCGCTGGCGCTAATGTAGTAAGTCGTGGTACCATCGCCTGAGGCTGGCGCCTGGATGATGGCTGGCAAAAGGTTCTTCAGATCGGTGCTGGACGCCCATTGTATTTCTTGTCCGCTGCCGAGACAGTGGGCGTACAGGTGGCGTATTGTGTTGGCCGTTTGCGCTGCGCGGCCTCCTAAGCGCAACTCTGCGGTGAGGGGATGTAGTGTTGTTAAACTGTAGTTGTACCAATTGTGGTGTGCTGTTCAATCGTAGGGGTCACCAATTATGTGGCGAGAATAATACACCATAATTGGTTAATCTACTTGCGTGTGTCGTTAAACTGTGGGGTTACCAATTATGTGGCGATAATAAGATACCACATTTAATATTAAAATTATTATTTATTAAAGATATTTCAAAAAACTTGTTCACTTGTTGGCGTCTGTACAAGAAGTGACGCTTCTTAAAACTAAAAACTTAGAACTCAGTTAAAACTGTAAATTTCCAAGGAGAATATAAAGAGAATGAAATAATAGAATAACTTACAAACAATGCTGCCAGATGTGATATGTCTTATCTGTGTGCCCACAATAGTATATTCTTGCAATGCTGACGAACACTATGATCATTTAAAGAAAATAATAAATCCCCTGCATGAAGCTCATATGAAAATTTCACTGGAAAAATCCGAGTTTTTCAAGGCCAGTGTTGAATTTTTGGGATACAAAATTGGCCGTAATATAATTATGACAGATGAAAAGAAAGTAGAAGTCATTAAAGAATATCCTGTACCAAAAACTTTCCGACAGTTAAGAAGTTTTTGGGAATGACCAGGTATTATACAAAATTTGTGCGAAATTACGCATACATTACTAAACCATTAACTAAATATTTGCAAGGATAAAATGGTAGAATATCACAAAACCAATCAAAAGATGACGTTATAGAATTAGATGATGAAGCCTTAAAAGCAGTGGCGAGATTAAAAAGTGGATTAACGCAACACACAAATTATGCTACAAATGAAAAACAGTTATATGCCGTTGTCTGGGCATTGAAAAACTTAAGAAATTACTTCTATGGAGTTGCTTATTCGCTGTATCGCCGAGAAATCCAAATGCTAAGATGAAGCGCTGGCATGCACTTATAGAAGAGTATGCCCCAAAAATTATTTATAAATCTGGATATACGAATTATGTAGCAGATGCATTATCTAGACAGTTTTTAAATGATAATATTTTAGAAAAAATAATAATGAAAATATCGAAGGAAGCGAAGAAGATAACCCCACTGAAACAATGCATTCAGCACCAAACTTAGATATTTTTCACATAAAAACCTTCAATAAAACCCTAAACTCATTCCTACAACAAATTGAACTGAGCAAATCAAGTGGTAACGAACATTTTAGAACAAAAAAAATTGTAATACCTACAGGCACCACATACGGTATAAAGATTTAGAATTTTTAAAACAAATCATTTCAGAAAGAGTAGATAAAATCCTTTTAACTGGGGTCAATTTCACATTAGAAGAATTACATGAAGTTAAACGAATTTTGCGAAACAGAATTGCAAAGAAAGTTTTCCATACGGATATAACTAACAAAGCTGATCAGGAAAAAATAATTAGACAAACACATACAAGAGCGCAAAGATATTATAAAGAAAATTTAAAACAAATTACTAAAGATTACTACTGGCTGCTAATGAAGAAACAATTTAAACAATTTGTAAGGAATTGTGAAATCTTCAACATAAACAATTACGATAGACACCCTATACGGGTACCGATTCCGAAAAAAGAGGGGGAACAAGATTTATTATTTGCATCAAATTTACAATTCATTACTGAAATTGATGCATATTCCAAATTCTTAATAGTTAATATATACAGATCGAAAACAAAACTAGTTTGTCAGAAAATGTATTAGAAGCCCTCCAAAGTTTCCCAGAAGTAAAAATGATTACATGTCATAATGAGCCCGGATTCAGCTCAAAATATAGTCATATAATCAAACTATTCACTCTGTAACGGAACGAAAGCCTTTTGAAATATTACACAATAAAATAAGGCACAATGATTTAACTGAAAAATTAAAATTAGTTCAAAGTCAGATGCTTAATTATAGAAATAAAGGCCGTAAATTAAGATGATTCAATGAAAATCAAACGATATACGAAGAAGGAAATAAATTTCAAGGGAAAATAAAACATAGATATAAGAAATAAATAGTTAAGAAAGATTTAGGAAATAAGGTTTGATGCAAGAAAAAATAGAATCATTCACAAAGATAACTTAAATTCTTAAATTTTATAGATTACACATAATGATGAAGATTACGATACTCTTTTTGGCAATACCTCTAATCGCGGCCCAGATAGAAATAGTAGACTTGAGCCATGGTAACGGCTACTCGCTACTAAAATTAACTGAAATCAAACTAATCGAAAGATATGACAGAATATCATACTTAGTAAATACAACAATGTACAAAGGTCATGTAAATAATTTGGAAAAATTAATTTTGAAAGAAGAAAATCCTAACCCTTTACTTATTGCTAAACTCAAGCACATTAGTATTCAAATAGATACTTTAACCCCACATCACCAAAGGCAAAAAATTTGATTATTTAACTTTTTGGGAACAGGACTCAAATATATCTATGGAACTATGGACGTAGAAGATCGTGTAGAAATTGAAGGAAAATTAAATATTAATACTCAAAATGCACATAATGTAATTGTACAAATTAAATATATCAAATAATAAAACTGATGTCATTGAATTAGACTCAAATCATATATATGTATATAATCAATGCCAAATATAATCAATGCCAGTTAATCACAATTGTGATTTAAAAAACTTTAATAACTTTAATAAATGGTAATTATTTAATCCGATTTGAAAACTGCAGTATTAGGGTAATGAGAAAATTGTATTTACATAATAAACCAATGTCAATTCAAATTTTACCAAATCCGGTGAASCTTATTAATGTAACAATAATGAAATATATAACAATGGAAGAAATCCATCAATCCATCCATCCGTTAAGAATCGTCAAATAAACATTCCCACCAAACTGCTAGCAGCAAGTTAAAGTTGAGAAATATCGTATAAACATTCTCATCAAAACAGCTGACAGCATTAACTGCACAAACATAAATAATAAAMGTTTCACATAGCTGTACCAAGGGACGCTAGCTTTAAGCTAAGCAGTTAAGTTGTGTTGTATTAAAAATTAAGAATAAAATGTTAGAACGATTTTGGCATTCGAAGAGAAAACATCGTCTTTTATTTAATTTGGAGATTTGTAATAATTATATCTATTGCAATGATTATAATTTGATGTGACCAAAGATGCCATCTATGAGCACTTGGAGCGCACCTATGACAGCTGTACCCGCCACGATGTCAATCTTTACCACTACGGTCGGTAAATTCAGCCTCCACTCCAATTACCAAATTGGCATGTCTCATACCGTGCGTTCGTTGCCAATGCTCTTTCCTAGCCACTCCTTCTTCCCAGATTAGGTGTACCTGGTTTCGTTCCGCAGTGCTGTTCAGCCTTTCCCTGAACTCCTGCACTTGCGATTTGATCTCGTAGGAGGAGATCAGTTTTACTGCTGCTTGACCATCGCTGAGAATGGCTATTCGCTCATTGCGATAGTTGCGATGGAGGTTTATTTCTATACACCGACTTATGGCAAAACCTTCTGCCTGGAAGATGCTTGAGAACTCATACATGGGTATGAAGAGCTTAGTGCGTTTCTCATGACCGCTGCACCGATTCCCTTCGACATTTTCGAGCCACTCGAACGTGCTATTACTCAACATCAGCTCGAGATTGGAGTCGTACCACTCGTCCTTGCTGCCGAGGGTGACCTTAAATTTTTTCTCGAAGTTAACTATTTTTTTAGTGCTGTCCTTCAAGAGGAGCGCTATTGGTGTATTGCCATTTATCTTTTCCATCCTGTAGGACRAGACTACCTTGCCTTTGCCACACCCCTATTTGCAGAAGAGTATGCTTTGCTACCTGCCCTATAACCAAGTGAAGCGGAGTATGTTCTAACAGARCCTCCAGTGCCGCCGTTGTACAAATGCGCATTTCGCCTGTCATGCAGACGCCGGCTAGCCGCTGCAGATTCGATAGTTTGGTCTTTACCGAAATCTGCGGCGCCACTGAGGCCCTGGCCACCGCTTCGAACGTGATTATTGGTCGCACTATCATGGTGTACAACCACTTTTCTTGGCTTACAGCCGCAGGACTTGCGCGCCAGCCTCAAAAGCTTTTGTTGCATTAACCAGGGTCAGGTTTATATGCCTTATCCGCTCCCTTGCTCCCAGTGGCCGAGGGCTTATGAGACCGCATGACCACTGTTCTGAACCTCTAACACAGGCGGAAGCTGGCTGCCCGGACGTACTTGTACGATTCGTCGTCTGTGTACAAGTACAGTATCCCACCTTTCATGCCTCCCATTTCCTCCACCTTGCTGCTGACAACGCACCAGGCCGAGATGCTGAGGTCCAGGTTCTGGTTCTTCACCACGTAGAGCAAACTCGTAGGGCGTGTCCCCGCATCGGGGAGGAACACTGTCATGCTGTGTATGATTGGCAAGTCTTTCGCCCTTTTCGCGCAGAGGACTGGACCCTTCCAACCTTCCAGCTTTGGGGAGAACTCCCGCACCTAGTTTCCAGACATCTGCGTACCTCCTTTAAATTCCACCCCCAGGAAGGACGCCGCATATTCAATACCTCTGAATACCTCTTCCATGAGGAGGTCCTGGAGCACGGTAAGCTCCTCCAATTTGAGCGACTCCGCCGGGTAGATTTGAGGCAGTACAGCCATGCGGATGCCTTTAGCAGCATCAGCACGTTTGCGCCGGGTCACGTCTCCGTCGGGTCTATTACTTTAATGAGGAACTAGGGTGTCCACTACGC